AGGTTGGGTTGGGTCACTGAAGGTTGGGTTGGGTCAATGGAGTTTGGGTTGGGTCAATGATGGTTTGGGTTTCGTCCCATCCCTGTCCTGTATCTTTCACAGCTGCAGATGACCCGGAAGAACCTGCAATGCCCTCAGAAGAGCCACCAGAACCCTCTGAGAAGCCACCAGTGCCCTCAGAACCCTCCAAGAAACCGCTAATGCCTTCAAAACCCTCCAAGAAACCACCAGTATCCTCAAAACCCCCCATGAAACCATCAATGTCCTCAAAACCCCCCAAGAAACCCCCAGGGTCTTCAAAACCTCCCAAGAAACCCCTAATGCACTCCAAACCCTCGACCCGGAAGAACCTGCAATGCCCTCAGAAGAGCCACCAGAACCCTCTGAGAAGCCACCAGTGCCCTCAGAACCCTCCAAGAAACCGCTAATGCCTTCAAAACCCTCCAAGAAACCACCAGTATCCTCAAAACCCCCCATGAAACCATCAATGTCCTCAAAACCCCCCAAGAAACCCCCAGGGTCTTCAAAACCTCCCAAGAAACCACTAATGCCCTCCAAACCCTCCAAGAAACCACCAGTGCCCTCAGAACCCTCTGAGAAGACACCAGCGCCCTCAGGACCCTCTGAGGAGCCACCAGTGCCCTTGAAACCCACCAAGAAACCACCAATGCCCTCAAAACCCCCCAAGAAACCACCAGTGTCCTCAAAACCCCCTAAGAAACCCCCAGGGTCCTCAAAACCCCCCAAGAAACCACTAATGCCCTCCAAACCCTCCAAGAAACCACCAATGCCCTCAGAAGCCTTTGAGAAGACACCAGTGCCCTCAGGACCATCTGAGGAGCCACCAGTGCCCTCAGAACACTCCAAGGAGCCACCAGTGCCCCCAAGACCCTCTGAGGAGCCACCAGTGCCTTCAAAACCCTCCAGGAAACCACCAGTGCCCTCAAAACCCCTAAAGAAGCCACCAGTGCCCTCAGAACCATCTAAGAAGCCACCAGAGTCCTCAGAACCCTCTGAGATGTCTCCAGTGCCCTCAGAACCCTTTGAGAGGCCACCAGTGCCCTCGAAACCCACCAAGAAACCACCAATGCCCTCAAAACCCCCCAAGAAACCATCAA